GATACTGTTATTTTGATATCATAAATTCTAGGATCAATCAAATAAGTAATTATGAACCGACATTTTTGGTGTGAAAATACAAAACCAAAAAAATTCTGTAATCTTAAGTCTGAATTTGAAATGTTAAAACCAAGACTACTTGCCGAAACCGGTTTGGCTCAGTGGATGGAGCGTCGGCCTGCGGACTGAGGGGTCCCGGGTTCGATTCCGGTCGTGCACCAGGCCTCTATTCTATATAGTAAAAGGGTAATATGCCTCCCAGAACCAGGATCAGCGGAGCCGCAAGGCCTCCCGGCACCAGGATCAGCGGGACGGGGGCGGTGCCACAACCCCCACCCCTCCCACGGCCCCAGCTCTGTGTGTGATGGGGTAGAGCCATAACCTCCCCATCGGCACTGCCCTGAGTGTGACAGTGGCGGCGCCCCAACCCCCTGATTGGCCCTGCTCTGTGGGTGATAAGGGCACAGGTGGGCTGAGGGACACCCCCCCTCCCCCTCGAGTGCACAAATTTTTGTGCACCGGGCCTCTAGTCCTATATAATAAAAGCCTAATATGCTAAGTGTCTGACTGTTTGACCAGTCGCTATGATGCGCACTGATTACCAGGGGGAAGACACTCCGACCAATAGGTTAGCTTGCTGCTGGGGTCTGGCCAATATGGATTGGGCAAGACGGGCTGAGCAAGCCCTGGAGCCCTCCCACAGTCCCTCCCCGGCCCAGATAGTGCACCGGTGGGGTCCCTTGACCTGGCCTTCACTCTCTCGCAATCCAGGACCCCTTGGGGGATGTTGGAGAGCCGGTTTTGGCCCCATACTTGCAGGCCAGACTGAGGGACCCCACTGGTGCACGAATCCATGCACCAGGCCTGTAGTCTATCCTATTTAAGAAAAGACAAAAAGTGTAATTAACGATACCTCTGCTACACTTCCCATTGGCTAATCAGGACGATATGCAAATTAACTCGCAGCAAAGATGGCGGCTGGCAGCCATGCAGCTGAAGCGAGCAGGAGGCTTGCTTGCTCCAGTGGAGGAAGCCAAGGTTCCCCGCCTGCTGCGGCCCGGCTCTGAGTTCCAGAAGCAACAATGTTTCAATTACAGAAGCTAAACAAACCCCAGATACCTGCTTTCAGCCGGCATCAGCCTCAGAGCTGGGAGTGCCAGTGACGGCAACAATGTTTCAATTATATAAGGTAAATAAATCCCAGAATAAAAAAGAAAAGAAAAAAAGGAGAGGCTGGGAGCTTCAGTCGTCCACCAGCATGAAAATGGCCATCAGCCCCTCATCCAGGTTGGCCAGGCGCCCCAGTGGGGACCCCCACCCTGAAGGGGGTGTGACCAGCTGCATACAGCCCTCAGCCCCTCACCCAGGCTGGCCAGGCACCCAAGCAGGACCCCCACCCCGATCTGGGACACCTTTCAGAGCAAACCAGCCAGCCCCCACCTGTACACCAGGCCTCTATCCTATATAGTAAAAGGGTAATATGCAAACTGACCCTAACAGCAGAAAGACTGAGAATGACTGGTCACTATGACACACACTGACCACCAGGGGGCAGATGCTCAATGCAGGAGCTGCCCTCTGGTGGTCAGTGTGCTCTCACATGGGGGAGCTCTGCTCAGCCACAAGCCAGGCTGATGGCTGCCAGTACAGCGGTGGTGGTGGGAGCCTCTCCTGCCTCCTCAGCAGTGCTAAGGATGTCTGACTGCAGCTTAGGTCTGCTCCCCGCTGGCAAGTGGACTTCCCCTGATGGCTGCCGGGCTGCCAGAGGGATGTCTGATTGCCATCTTAGGCCCAATCCCCCCGGGGAGCAGGCCTAAGCCAGCAAGTGGTCATCCCCCGAGGGGTCCCAGACTGCAAGAGGGCACAGGCCACATTGAGGGACACCCCCCCCCCGTGCACAAATTTTTGTGCACCAGGCCTCTAGTATATATATAAAAGCCTGTGACTGTCCGACCAGTAGCTATGACGCACAATGACTACCAGGAGGTAGATGCTCTGATCGGTAGCTATGATGCACACTGACCACCAGGGGGCAGATGCTCAACACAGGAGCTGGTGAACTGCAGTGACCTGGCAGCTATGGTTCTCGGGTGCCACACTGGAACCAGAGAGGAGGGAGCCTGATTCTTGGGTGCATTACCCGAGAACCGCCCTCTCGCAATCCAGGACCCTTCTGCGGATGTTGGAGAGCTGGTTTTGACCCAATCCCTGCAGGCCAGGCCAAGGGACCCCACCAGTGCACAAATCCACGCACTGGGCCTCTAGTTCTAGCTAATAAAGATGGAATATGCAAATTGACCATCACTTCACAACAAAGATGGCGGTGCCCACAGCCAATAAGGAGGAAATATGCAAATTGACATGACAAAGATGGTGGCGGCCGGGCCTCTGGCAGCACCCGAAGGCAGAAGGTGGCTCTGCCTTCTTCTCCTTTGCTCCTCGGCTGGAGCAAAGGAGGAAAGGCGGCTCTGGGCTGGAGCAAAGGCGGTGCCAGCAGCCAAGGGAAGGAAGGCCTATTCTTGCACGAATCTTTGTACGTCGGGCCTCTAGTATTAAATAATTATTATTGTTTGAGTGGAATAATGGTATAGTGACCATTAATGTTAAGAAAGTTTAAAAACACACTGAAGTACTTTTACAGGTGAAATGACATGTTTACAATTTACTTTAAAACGTAAGAGCAAAGCCAAAAGGTGGTGTGGTGGTGGGGGGTGCTATTGGTGGAACAGGACTGACAAAATGCTAACTACTGAAGCTACATGGAGGTTCATTAGTTTCTTTCCTTCTATGTACATTTGAAATTTAATGTAAAAAACATTTTAAACATAGGGATGATGGCTATGTACTTAATAGGCCTGTTGTGACGATTAAATGAGGAAACAGACATAAAGTGCTTAAGGAAG